ATCTAGTACGTTTTTTAAGTTTCTCGTGCGCTGTCATGAGTTTTGTTGTTGATCTTGAAATGTTTGCTTGATCGACCTGATACTTATTTGTCTGAGCATTAGTCGTGGTATTCTGAAAGGACTATGGCAAATCTAAAGAATTCATTTCTCATCAATTTAAGTTTAAGTATATGTAGTCAATTTATCTGTCATGAAAAATGTGATTTAGTTTGTTTTATTCACACATTAGGATACTTCACAGGAAGGTGTGAACGCTGTCGATTATGATGAGGAATGTTTTACATGTGTTTCTAAGGAAATTGATAAAATAGCACGATAATGTTATCGTGATCCTATTTTGAAACCGGCATGATTTACATTGTAATCAATATAAAAATGATATAGTAGGGTGAAATTTTCTTTTCGTAGGAATTCCATTTGCGAAACGTTCAGTGCCTCTTCTTTGAAACGAGGATGGGTGCAAAAGCGCTCACTTTGAAAAGAATTTTTTCTCTCAAATGAATACAACACATTTCACAACAAAGGTTTTGCTCATAACCTCTTTTGAAAGTGAGTCAGTTTTGGAACTCGAAAATGGACAGTGAACTCTGTTGAGCTCACAGACTGTTGGAAAAATCTTGGCCAGAGTCTTCTTCGACTAGACTTCCCGGGGACGATACTAATGTGGTGAAATGTTAAATGAGAGAGGCAATGGCAGACTGTTTGAAGTGCCCCACGTGATAAATCACATAAAAAAAAATCTAAGGTAACTCTTTCGTTTGAACCTAAAGGTGTATAAGATACCCAAGATCGTTCACTCGCCTCAGACACTGCTTATGATCATGAAGGGGATTTGAAATGGATAAATCAATGGTATTTTGACAAGATGCTTTTCTCACCAAGATACAAAATGTTAAATCGTTATCGTTGATGAAAAATCACCGAAAGGAAAATCGCATCGTAGAAAGTTCTGCAAAAGCAAACAAATCGAAAGGGTTAAGAGTCAACTGAATAATGCGAAAAGAAAAAAAATTTTACTGAGAAGCTTTCGATCGACGTGGACTTACCGTGAAATTCAAGTTAAAAGGGTATAAGCCTATCAAATTTGAGAATTTTACTTCTGTATATGTTTACAGTAACGAGACTTTCTTGACAATTCCAAAGTAATTACTTTGCGCTCTAAAATGTGTTTGAAGACAGGTGGCCGTCACACAGTTGCCACGATTGAGTATTAATGGAGCTAAACAAAGCGAAAAAGTAATTGTGTGTCAAGACTTTTTTGTTTTTTGCAATTATTGTGTTTAGGATTTCCTGTGACTCGTTCGATGACTTAACGCTTCAATTAAACTCAAAGCGAAAAACAGATTATAGATTTGGAGCATACCAAACGGTTACCTGTTTCTAACCTTTTTATAATCTGTCAAGCTATGGTATTGATACAGAATAGAGGGAAAAGACAGTGAAAAAAATTGATTGCAAACTTAAAGTTTACCTAAACCCAAAAAATTTTTTTTGCTTAACGAAATAAGCGTATTTTCTGGAGTATTTCTGTATAAAAATATTTTTTATTCGCTCAAATCTTCAATTTTCTGTCCCAACGTGCGAAATTTGCAAGAGGGTATCGCGCTTCATACATTCCTCATACAATACACCTAGTCGGCATATTTCGGACAATATCGACGACAACCTTCCCAAACAAGTGAAAATGTGTGAAATGCAGACTTTCGTGCTCTCGATTTGACCTCACATTACCCGCTAGAACCATTCCTCTTTCAACTCTGTCGTGAGCCAAGATGGTGGCCGATTTTCCGCATTTTGACTGGGCACAGAAAATTGATTTGAGCAAATCAAAAAATTTCTGCACAGAAATACTTCAAAAAATAAGCTTATTTCGTTAAGCGAAAAAAAATTTGGGGGTTTAGGTGCACTTTAAGGCGAAGAACAAAATGTATGATTAGAGAGGTAGGTAGAACTTAAAGACTAAATCCTCACTTTTTCGCTAAAAAATTCTCTCGTCAAAATGGCTTTCTCTTATGACATTACTTTGGCGACAGATGATATGACTTTTGGAATCTTTTAATGAGTGGGGCGAAATAATTTATTCCTGGAAATGAAAGCTTGCTTCAAAAACAATGATATAAACGAAAGTTAGTTAGAATATTGCGGCGAGTTTTTGGCATTCTTTCTGCGCTTTCTCCTTTGATCACTTGCTTGAAATTTGCTTTCAACTTTTGAAGTGAACTTCCAAACCAAACCAAGATGATTGTTTCAAGAGTATTGTTTCTCTATCAGGCATAATGGAACAGCCCTCTTGTGAAACACGAGTAAGTAACTTTGGGAGCGCTACGCCACTTTGTGTGCTATGTAATTTTCTGCGTTATTCTGTCGCTCATTGTTTTTCGAGTTACGCAAGTTTAATTCATTAATCGATTGAAACGCAGGCCATCTCTCAAGACCAGTAAAACGTTTCTTTTTGCAAACGAAACACAAAGACAATTGCATGACAACCTTTCAGTCGTACTTAAGTTTGCGGGACAAATTTGGCGGAAAATGAATATGAATATAAAATCAATGCAACCATGGATAATTCCTCCACCGAGCAATTTGTCTGTTTTCGAGACTGTCGAATGAAAAAAAGAAAACACTTATTGAATTTTCATCGGCCGATGTACCTTAAAAAAACGTCTTTTTAACAAAGATTGTAAAACTGTGGACTCGTAAGCATTTTCAGTTAGACCAAACTAACCGCAAAGAAATGGCAAAAAATCTAAAACGGCTGTTATTCAGCGTGGAAAGTTCAACAGCTGTGAGATTTGTTTCTTTTCCAGTCGTTTTCTTTCCTTAAAAGAAACAGCACAATAGCTCTGTTCTTCTGTTTATTTGAACAGCTTTTATGTAATCTTTTTTAAGTTTTACTGACGTTGCAGAGAAAATAGCGGAAAATGATAGGTAGTTTGACAAAATGAGAAACGCACATATCTTTATCAGCACACTGTACTCAAAGAAATTTCACACCAACATGGCTTGAAAATTGGCGTAGGAAAGGTCAGTAAAAGGGTATGTAACTTTGATGTGTGCTCAACAAAGCTAATCTCTTGAAAAGGCCGCTCCGTAGGCCAAATTGGCTTGCAACCTGAACTCTGGCTGCCGGGATGATGTTTATCACAGAAAATCTTGCTGAGAATTTTACAAAGTTTTGACTGAGCGGCTGTTGGTACAACATGCGAAAGAACAGGTAGAAACGGAAGAGATGAAAAACAGTAAAGAGGCAACCTCTTTGTAAATTCGCGAGGAAATCGTGTAGAACCTGGCGGCGATCTTACCGGGATCTCACCAGATATTACTGGGAACCTGCCAAGATGCCGAAGGCATCTTGTCGGGAACCCGTGGGGAAACAGCCAGGATCTTGCTAGGAAATTTTTGGGATGCCGTCTGGATTTTGTCGAGATCCTTTCAGAAATTTGCACAATTTCCCCATGATAGTTAAAGAATGTTTAGTCTAATTTCATGATTTATGAAGTTTTTGAACGAACAGAAAAATCACCACAATTTTTTAATTTAATCTCAGATTGTGATCTGAGATTGGAGCGAGGGTGATTTTTATCCCGAGGGAGTGTCTCAGATGAAGTTTCCGTCGTCTTTGATCTTATTATTGATGCCGTGCATAACTCGGCCTAGCTCTCCGCGGACACCTATCTACTTTGGAGGCTTCTTTCCTCTGAGTCCTAACAAAGCCTCGGTACCAGGACGAGCACTCCTAGCCGCGGCAGAACTGGCGCTAGATCACGTGAACAAGTCTGATATGTTGCGAGATTATGAGCTGCGCATGATTGTCAAAGACTCCAAGGTTTGTTTTTGGTATCTCGTTCAGTTCAGTAGAATTACAGGGATAGTTTTCCAAATATGACATCTTCGTTTTATTGATACGTCCTCTTGAAAAGTAAATATTTTTTTCGAAACAGATGTCAACCGAACCCTCGTTTTAATACTTCTAAAACATAACATTGTAAATGTTTCTTTATGTGTTTGCTTCGATTCTAAAGACTCAGCCTACCTGGAGTCTACCAGTTTTCGTATCATCCATGTTCCCGGTCTTTCCCTTTTCGCCCGGGGGGAGGGGGACAGTCGGTGAGGTATATACCCTACGAACGAGACTCCGCGCACCCTGTCCCTACAACATGCGTGTCCTCTACAACGCGCCTTGTTTCCGCGTAGTATTCCATTGTGTTATTTTCCTTTGGTTTTACACTGACAATTTTTAAACCTCTCAAAAGTGTGATCCTGCTTACACCGCCAACATGTTCATGGATTTGCTGTCACAGCAGCCCAACTGCTTGATGACATTTGGAGGGGCGTGTTCGGACGTCACCGAAATATTGGCAGAGATGTCAGCATACAGACATTTGGCGCAGGTCTGTCATTAAACCTACGATTCTATCAAGTAACATCTAACTCTAATTTCGGACACTTCGGTCGAGTTTCGGACGCTTCAGTCGAATTTCCGACTCTTTGGTCGAATTTCGGACTCCTCAGTCCAATTTCGGACGTTTTCGTCCAATTTCGGGGTCTTGACGTGTGTTTTTTTTAAGCTGAAAATAGTCTAAGAGGCATGGAGATCAAAACCACCTTATTTAAGAATAACCAGACTTCACGATCTTGAATAATGATAAAATCTAAAAATTATAGAAAGTACCTCATGGGACGCTGGGTTTTGCAATATGAACGATGATCTTCGCGCAATTACAAGTGCAATGGAAAGGATGCAAAACTTTGTTTTACTTAGTAGTGTAGACAAACCTAAACATGTACTCTAAATGAAAAGAGCGACCGAGTGACCGAGTTTATCAAAACTACGAGCACACACAAATCAAAACTGTTCGATGCCTGGAAAAGGTATGACAGGTCACACGTAACCTGTTTTGAATACTTCCGTTGCAGATATCTTATGCCTCCCGTTCACTGGCCTTATCAAATCGCGAGAAGTTTCCCACTTTGTTTCGCGCCCTTCCATCCGAGTCCGCGAGGAACCTGGCTCGAGTGGCTTGGGTAAAACACTTTGGCTGGCAGAGGATTGCCACCATGTTTGAAAAGACAAGCACTGATCTGGTAAGAAGATAGATAGTTGAAAGTTTTTCGACAAGGCACCATTCGTCTTTAGTTTACATGATTAGATCCGTGCATTCTGGAGCGCTGGCTAGATGTTTCTAACAGGTGGGTTTATAACACGATCGCAGCAGTCCTTCCCGTTACATCGAGGAACTGGCTGAATATCTTGAACAGCAGGACACTTTTATGTTAGCTAAAATGTCCTAGAATGGTTTTTTCTTCTTCAAGGCATCGCAATCCAATAGCCAAGTCATCAGAGAATTGAAGGAGATAAATCGAACAATTCTCCAGTCAGAAGAAATCACAGGACAGCACATTGAGCTTGACATAATAAATCTTGTGGTGAGTTTAAGTTTGTTGCTTGTTTAGAGCCCTCTCCGATTAAGTGTCGTTAACCAAAACAAAAGAGATCACAACGAAAAATCAAAAGAAACGGAAATATCCTTAAGAGCCAATGAGAACTTGAAGTAAAAACAACCAATCTGCCGAAAGAGCGGGAAAACGCGGGTAACCAAATCGTGATTGTTTCTATTTTTGCATCTGATTGGTTGAGAGAGTGACATGATTTGTCTGGACCAATCACAAGGTGGAGCAAAGCAAAACCAAAGCAATCTAGGATTACTCTCGACACTTAATTGAAAATTGCTCTATCAAATAATTTTAAGTCTCAGTTTACTTCCCCCTCATTGATTTAAGTTAAATCACTGCTTGTGTCTGGTATCGCTGAAAAGTGTCGGATTGTCTCATCGTTATGTCTCATTTCATTTTTTTTTTTAGAAAAACGACGCCAGAATTATTGTTGGAACATTTTATGAGGCTAAGGCGCGGCGCGTGTTCTGTCAGGTAAGGTATACCGAAAAAATTCATTGTGTTAAGTAAAAAAATTTAAAACCGCGGCCAACAAAAGAACTGACGTGATTCATGTTACGGTAAGGTATATATCTTTTTAAGAACTTTAGGTAAGAACATGCAGACGGCCTTAGGCGCCGGGACAGAGGAATGACCGAGTTTAGCGTCTGATTGATTTGGAAACTAACGGGGTTTTCTAAGCTTTTCACAACTTGAGCTCTTTTCAATAACCAATTTCCGAATTACCTCTAGCCTCTTTTTCAAAGCGAGTCCTGGTGCTCATTCTTTCATAAGTTTTGATTTACATGCAAATTAAACTCAATTTCACAAGAATGGTTCATCACCAGGCCTCGTTTTGAAAAAGAGGCCAGGGGTAATTCGGAAAAGGCCTACTGAGTATCATAAAACCAAAATCAAAGTAATGACAATGGCCAATCAGAAGAAAGGAAAATAACTTTGCGAGCCAGTGAGAACTCACATTAAAAACAACCAAACTGCTTAAAGCGCGAGAAAACGCGGGCGACCACTGAGGTCGTAATTGGTTTTCGTTTTGCATCTGATTGGCTAAGAAACTAGAGCGAGTTTTCTGGACCAATCACAGAGCGAAGTAAAGCAAAACCACTGCAATTCCAATTACATAATGATAACTTTCGACACGATTGAAAATGGCACAATGAAGACAATTTATTTTTTGAGATTCTATATATCTAAGTAAATCTCTTTTAGGCTTACAAGTCAGACCTGTATGGAGCCCGCTATGTCTGGATTTTGATTGGTACCTACTCTCACCACTGGTGGTCGGTCCCAGACCCCTCCGTGGGATGCACTAAGGACGAGATGAGGAAAGCTGTGGCCTACACTTTCATATTTAACAACCAAATATTCGTGAGCGAAGACAAAAAAGAAGCGCACAATAAAACTCTCTCGGGATTGGTGAGTATGTGACTAATCTTAACACAATCACGTTTTATAACCAGGATTCGAATTTTTGAAAAACCTTGCTCACCCTTCCCCGGCAAAAACCGAAGCCATTGTTGCTAAGTTCCAAGAGGAAGAAGTAGAGTTATCAGGTGCTATCAACAACTGTAATCCCGCCGGAACTGGTGGCTTAAATTACGTGGACAAAAACTTGTTAGAGAATAGATAAAGAGTAAAGTGAGTTGCTAATATTGTGTGGTTCAAAAAAAGAGAAAATGAAGTTTGAAACTTTAAAGGATAAGTACACTTATTCGAAAACAATTAGATTATTCGCTCTCCATTTTTATGCATGACAGTTCATTCGGGCTTCGTCGTCAGCTATCACGCGATAGAAATCTTGATCTTATAATCATATTGCTAAATATTCCTCTGCATGTTTCAATTGATTTTTCATCGATTCGTCTTCACTGCTTAGACAACCAACCAATTCTACAAACAATACAGAGATGTGTTACACAAGCTGAACGTGTCTTCAGCGCCTAACATCACTGCCTACACATATGACGCCCTGTGGACGGTGGCTGTGGCACTGAATAAATCCATCCCTAAACTAGACACCATGGGTCTGAGGTTACAAGACTTTTATTTAAACAAAACTGGAATGACAAATTTGTTTGTACGAACAATTCAAGATATCCACTTCCTTGGGGTAACGGTATGTCTGCTGCAGTCTTTAGTTGTCACTTATTGTATTTATTGATGTTCGACTTCTTATAATAACTTTTTTTCTTGTCATGACTTGTTTTTTCCACCCAATGGGTGTGATAAATTTCTAAATTACCCGCAGTTGTTTAATAATAACTTTTAAACGAGAAAAACTCATCCACCTGCATTCCATTCTTTTCTATCAAAGCAAACTCCTAAGCTCAAAAGCAACATCTCTACTTTTTCTGTAAATTAACCCTTTGCCTTGATATTAACACCACACCTCCTTGAGAGCTTTTTCTCGTTTCATGTTTTTTGGGGGGAAAGGGTTTTTTGACAAAGGGGAGGGGTCTGTGTGGCCACCATCTTCTAAGAATTTAGCAGCTTTCCAGTGTGTTTGTATTGTTATGAGGTATTTAATTCTCATGCCAGAGGGGGGTTTGCATATGTCCTAGACCACCGCCGCCCCTAAGCTACTTGTTCTTCTTCCTAATTGAGGAGGAAACAGATTTACTTTTCCTTTTTTCACTTGTATTCTTTTTTAAATGCGTTCCTTCTTAGGGAGAAGTTGCTTTCTTCTCTGATGGTGACCGATATGATGGTATGGTGGAAATACTTCAGCAACATCCAGGTAATTTTTGGTTAAGGGCTGCCACTGCTAAAGCGCTTACTCCTTCATGCATCAGCGTGCTTTTATCGAGATGTGGAACGCATGGGAAGTTTAGTGTAAGACTGGTACCGAGTATTGTAGGGGTGGCTACTAAGCCCAAGCGCGGTAGTCAAGTGTGAGTGTAGTTAACAATGTGTTGTTGCGAGTGGCGGTATTGTCCGTATTAAAAGCCGTTTCTTTTAAGAGGTTTTTCCTCTCGTTCTTTACATTAGAGAGCACAGAAATGGGAAACTGAGGCTATTTGAGGTCTCTCCAAACCTTCTGCGCTCTTTATTTCTCGCTGAAAGCAAAGCCAATGCACAAAGCTTTAGTTTAAAATTATCTTTAAAGCAGTCGCTGTCACAAAGAGAATTTCTCTCTGCCTCGCTTCGATGTGTACAATCACATCTTCAGCGTGCAATAGGAGATGCACTCGCACATGTACAGTTGAATTAGATTATGCACAAATGAAGAGGTTATATAATCGTGAGTCTATAAGACCGAGAAAGTTATCAATTAAGCAGTTTTGCTAACCGGTTTTAATTATCTTTACTTGCAGATGGCCATGCAGTTCGTGTCGGTTATTATGACGCACTTGTCAGAGAACTACGACTGGTTGGAAAAGGAAATTTGTGGCCAGGTAACCGTGTTAGAAAAAAAAAATTTTTTTCTGAGCATCTAGCTTCAGTCAATTCCGATCATCTTTTCCTGATTTTTTAACCAATCATCCAAGAGGACATATCAGTCCATTTCCTTTACTATTCCCAGTCTATTCTACTACATTCTCTACTCGGTCAAAATTGCCTAGTATCTATCAGCCAAGCAATTTAGTCAACAAGAGAAACTTGGGAAAAGTACTGGGAAAACTTCGATCGCCCACCCTTCCTCAGGCCTCCCTCGAATAAAGAGGTCAGAGAGAAAGCTTAGGACTGGGTTGAAGGTTTTTGATCAGGAGTTTTTCTTCTAGAAATAGGCTTTCACTCGGTCTTCTCGATGCAGTATTTATATCACTTGTTCCAAATCCTAGTGTTCCCGAAGTTCTTCCTTCGAGGTTTTAATTTCAATTCCTGATCGAAAGCAGCCTTTTTGGTTGGAGTTGGTAAAGGTAACTGTTATTATCTTATCCTGAATATCCATAAAGAGTCATACAAGACTGTGATCGCATGAATTAAGCAAAGCTTACCTTAACATCTTTATTTTCATTTTTATTTACAGATGGTAAAATTCCTCTTGACAAAACCATCACCGTCACAAACTTTGTACAAATTCCTTTGTGGCTAATCGTCTTAACAAGTGTACTGAGCTCTCTAGGGATTTTTTTGGCACTGTTTTTTTTGGGCTTTAACTTGCGCTTCCGCAAGAAAAGGTTAGTGTCTAAGAAGCCGAAATTAATTATAAACCTTGCTTCTCCTACAAGGGGTGCAGTAGCGACTCCTGAACTTGAGCTAAGGGGGGAGAGGCTTTTCTTCCTTCTGGGTTTATTTTTTTCACCCAAAATAGGCCCCCCCCGGCCCCTCCCCCCTACATCCGCCACTGGCTACCCTTTAACCTACAATACTGTTTAAGTGCCAGATGATTTCTGGGAAGTAGCCCTAATTAGGGCATCTTCGTTTGAACATGTCAACCAGGCTGGTCTTGTGGGCGGGACGAGTATCAAAAAGATGGATGTCGAATTCTTGTTGTTTGCAAGCATCCCCTTACCCGATACTGACCAAAAAAATACCTGTCCAAGAATCTTAGATCCATTTTAATCCTTACACTCATAAGATCAACGTATCAGTTCTTTGCAATGTCTGTTCTCCATACATTTCTTATATAGCTTTCATGTAGCTGTAAGAAAATTGTGTTAAATCAGGCAACATTCCTCGGCTTTGGCGATATTTATCTATCTTCTCGTCGCATTTTGCTCGATTTTGACATTGATCTTGTAAGGAGAAATTCAATTTTGGCCACTCCCTGGTGAAAAAGTTTCAAGACAGCAAAAATGACTCATGCTGTAGCAACCAGGAACACAGCTCCAGGAGTGATCGACTTGAAAACTTTTTCGAGATGTTTTCTTTTTCTTTCGTCTCAGAGGTCCGAAGACTTGCCCTTCATTTCATCTATAATATTTTGAGAACGACCGTCAATTAATTTCTTACCCAAATTTTTAAGATGTTTTAAGATTTTATGTCTAGCAAACTGACTCAACAAATTTTTAAGCCGTACTTATTTACCGAGCCTGTTCCGGGAGTTCGAGATATCAAACAGCGCGGCAGTAACGAAGGAGCCTGGGTCGGGTCGCGTGGTTTATTGTCATTGCAATACGACCGAAACCTCCCTCGTCCTTATACTCCTCTGCTACAGTCGTGCCTTTTCCTATGGCGCATAGTTTTTCTAACAGAATGCCTGGAACAGGCTAGGATTCACTTTGATTTTATATTCTGATTATTCCATGCAGGTATATAAAACTGTCGAGCCCAAACCTCAATAATGTTATTTTGCTCGGTGGCATTCTGATGTACACGACAGTGCTTTTGTACGGATTAGATGGGAGACTTTCGCCACTTTCTTATAATTACGTTTGTAGAGTGAGTATTGTCAAACCCGCTAAATACTGGGAAAACGGCTCTAAATTTATTTTTCGTGAAGAAATCTAGCCAGAGAGACAGCCAGTTTGTCAGTCAGTTCATTTGTTTCCTTCATTTATTCGTTGATTCGTTCTTTTCGTTTGTTCAATCTTAAATTCGTTCGTTTGTTCGGTTTTGGTTTGTCGGTTAGCCACGAAGTCAGCCAGGAATTCAGCTAGTGAGTGAGTGAGGGAGAGAGTGAGTGAGTGAGAGAGTGAGTGAGAGAGTGAGTGAGTGAGTGAGAGAGTGAGTGAGTGAGTGAGTGAGAGAGTGAGTGAGTGAGTGAGTGAGTGAGTGAGTGAGAGAGTGAGTGAGAGAGTGAGTGAGTGAGTGAGTGAGTGAGTGAGAGAGTGAGTGAGTGAGTGAGTGAGAGAGTGAGTGAGAGAGTGAGTGAGTGAATGAGTGAGAGAGTGAGTGAGTGAGTGAGTGAGTGAGAGAGTGAGTGAGTGAGTGAGTGAGTGAGAGAGTGAGTGAGTGAGTGAGAGAGTGAGTGAGTGAGTGAGTGAGTCAGTGAGAGAGTCAGTCAGTCAGTTGGTGAGGTAATGAGTCAATAAGTTTATCAGTGGTAGTTTCATCTGGTCGGCTCGTCCATTGATTAGTCAGTCGGCCGGTCAACCAATCAGTTAGTCGACTAGTCAAACAGTTCGTCAATAGCCCATTTCCGAATTGCCTTTAGCCTCTTTTTCAAAGTGAGTACTGGTGCTCATCCTTTCGTATGGCAATAAGTTTTCATTCACATGCAAATTAAACTCATTTTCATACGTAAGGTTGAGCACCAGGTCTCGTTTTGAAAAAGAGGCCAAACGTAATTCGGAAATGGCCTATTCGCCCAAAATTATACAATTTATGCACTCGTTCATTCATTCGTTTATTCCTTCCTTCCTTCCTTCCTTCCTTCCTTCATTCATTCATTCATTCATTCATTGATTCGTTCATTTATTCATTCATGTGTTCATTTATTCAGTGAATTTGATGTTGATTTGATAATCTGTTGTATTTTGCTACCTCATAGGCGCGATTCTGTTTGCTGTCTCTTGGATTTACCGTAGGATTTGGTGCCATGTTCTCCAAGACTTGGCGTGTCCACCAGATTTTCACGAACATCAAGAAAATCAGAAAGGTGACAAAAACAAAACGAAACAAAACAGAACAAAACTAAAAAAAAAACTAAGAGAGAGAGGAACAAGTGTCAGAGGTCGAAGATATGAGTCAAATTTTATCCTTCCGAAAGGTTACATAGTACGAGAAGCATATTTCATAGGTCCGCAATGCGTACGCATTGTAGGAAACGCCTGCGCTAGATTTTCTCAAAGCTGGGCTGACATAATCTAGGGTTAATGTCAAATTTCATTTCGGATCTAAAAAATTTAAAAATTAAAGTCAGTATAAATCCTCTTGTCTAGAATTTGATTATTGGATGCTTTAGAATAATACAGAAAACTATTCAAAAAAGGCTTGAAAGGAATGAAGAAATTGGGATTAAACTTAAACCCTGGTTTAACGCTAATCTGTATTCCAACAAATGGGCCCAGGTAACTAACCAACACAAGAGCATTTTTCTTCTGTCCCCACAGGTAGTCAGTGATTTCGACCTGTTCCGCTTGTTAGGAGCGCTAGTGTTTGTTGATGTTCTGTTACTTGTTACGTGGATGACTTTGCACCCACCAAACAGAAAAGTAATCACGAATGAAGGAGCCCAGGTATACAACTAAAGTAGAATTGTCAAGTTTACCTGCTCTCAGTAAAGACCCAGCTGAGCCATAAATGACCATGAATTAGAAAATAGTTTTGACATAAAGAGTGATTAAACAGATATATAATTTATAGCTTGTTTGAATCAATTATCGTCTACTAAAGCAATATCCATACCATGTAATTTAAATTCCCAGATTTCTTTCGATCGCGATCACAAGATTGTTCTTTGCCGTGAGGAATGTGTGGGCCCCCATTTCACGGTGTGGATTATTGTGTTCTACACGTTTCACAGTCTCCAGCTCGTCTTTGGTTTGTTCCTTGCATTTGAAACACGCAAAGTTTCGATTCCAGCTCTGAACGATTCTCGTTTCATCGGTATGAGCGTGTATAACGTGGTCCTGCTATGTGCAGTTGGTGTTCCTGTGTCTTTCTTCACGAGCAGTCATCCCACTGTCAGCTTTTCACTTATCTGTGCTGTCATTTTGTTTTGCACCACGCTGACACTCGGAATTCTGTTTGTACCTAAGGTAATGCTATAAAAACTCTCTTAAATCTACATATGCTTTTAGAGTGTAACATTGAGCGATTGAGTGTCGTAAAAACCAAACCGGAAGTATTGACAACAGTCCAGTAACGCGCTTTTCAAGGAAGTAATGTTAAAAAAGTAGGCACTCAAAGAAGTGCATGTGGCTGGAGCAAACAGGTAACCGGTCCATGGATCCGCCATCGAAAATTGCTTTGATGAGGAATTCGCTTCGAACAAAACTAATTCAACGAATGATAAACACCATAGCGTACGCTATTGAGGTGTGGTTGCAAGCGGGAGGTTATAGCAGAGAGCTTCTTGAGTGCTTAGCAAACTTCCCAAGTGCATCCAGAACTCCATAGTGTAAGCTGTGGTGTTTACCATTTGTTTTATAACATAAAAGTCAATTTCTTACGAAACATTTGATTACTTGGATGCGTACGTCAGCAGCGCACACCCATGGGCAAATGGTAAACACGTAAGTGACCAATGAGAGCGCTCACTTAACGCGATTTATGTTCTAAACTCAGTTGGATCTTAGTTGGGAGGTTTGAAATGGTAGAGATAGCATTGCCCTACCTAGACATGGCTATTTACAATCGCTATCATTGCTCTTTTTGTCAGGTCATCCAAATATACAAGGATCCGGATGGAAATCCACTGAGGCGAGGTGGCAAACAGTCCAGTGCTTTGTCACATGGTACACCATATACGCGGTCTATGGAAGCTATACAGAATCACGCTATGATAGAGGAAGAGAACAAGAAATTAAGGAAGCAAGTTGAAGAGGTGAGTCTTTATTGTAAAATCATCATTGAGGAGTGCGGAGAGCAATCCGGGATTAAGCTCATGAATTTTGACTCAGCCATTCTGTCATTGGTTCATTAAATTCCGATCATAGTTTGTTCACCAACGTCATTTGCATACATCTAAGTCCTCATGGCTTTCTTGTCACTTTTTACTTTTTTTTTAAGCCTTTGTACAAACTTTGGTTTTAACATTTTTTGTGTTTTCACTTTTTCATTAAATCAAACCCGTGCCCTTAATATTGAATTGTGCTAGTACGAAAGAGATCTGGGACCGATATCGTGGTATACTTTGAAAACGATAAAAGTATGGTAGGGCCTGGATAAAAACTAAAAACTTTCGACTGGAAAATAAAAGCCAAGCCTTGTGCCAAGAAAATTAGCGAAAGTTCGTTTTACGTTTTATTTCCAATACTGTTTTCTAACTTGTGACAGGCGAAGTCCATATTGTCAACGCGAAATGATGAACTGCAACAAGGTAATGGTACGAGGCTTTTTTAAATTTTTTTTGCGAGCTTTTCCTTTGCTTCACTGGAAATTGGGAGAAGTGGTAAATATCATGTAAAATAACACGATAGACGGGAGAAGGAACTTGTATCTTGTCATGTATCTTCCTTCTTTTATTACAGCTGGAAATGAACTTGAAGAGGATTGTGCAAGGTCAGACTTCGAGAAGGGAACCTGCTAGTTGTCAGGACGGCGAAGAAACAGAAGAACCGCGGGCTATCTTTGGCTGTCTTTCACAGAAGACGCATCAAGAATGATCGAACTTTAGGAGGTCCCAATATGAAACGACCGAGGAGTCTTGGAAAGCACAAGAAAGGGACGATGACAGTACATTGGAGACAGAAGAAACGAATTAAACGCAAGACTGAGAAAATAAATGACTCTCTTATGGAACTATATCTGTCACGCGTAAGGAAGTCTGGAGACTGTTTCCATGTGGACGAGAGAGAGAAATTCGTTTTCTCTTCTGTATGCGTTATAAATGATTTGAGAAACAATGAAATAATACCAATATCTTAAGCCACCGGCATCCTACGCAGCAGCAACATGAAACAATGAAACAATACCAATTTATTACACGACTCGGGCAGTCAGAGGGCCAATAACTAAAATCAACCAATCAAAATGCTCTACTGCCGGTCCAATATTCTCTAAGTATTGGACCGGGCACTTTCCCGAATGGTCCCGAATGATACCGCACTTGTGTCCCTTTGAACTTCAGTCGTATAATAAATCTCTTATTAACCAAGCTTGCTCGGGACCGTACTGGAAGAATATCGGCCTTCGGTCTTTTTTGTACGGACCTCGCTACGCTCGGTCCGTACTGTCAAGACCTCGGACCGATATTCTCCCAGTACGGCCCTCGCGCTTGGTTAATAAGATATATATCTTAAGCCACCATCATCCTACGCAGCAGCAACATGGTATTATTTTTAGTCATCAAAGTGCATCTTCGACCTTTTCATGCCAGATGTCCCATGCTGTTTTTTTCATATTAGTACATAATATTATTATTCCAAGCGCAAATTCAATCCACATTTCATTAACCAGAGAAAACAACTAAAAATTTCGTAATGATGAGGCTAACCAACACACACCTGATTGGCTGTTACTCTCGCGCCGGAATCGACCAATCAGGGAGAAACTACCAGAATGCGAAACTACGTCTACGAAAAAACAAGGAAAGTGATATTTTTAATAGAATTATATCGAAGAGTTATTGAGGTTGAAGACTGTTTATCATTTGTGAAAACTGCCCTCTAGTATTTCTATCCATTTAAACTTTTTCGTTACGGAAATAAGAAAAGGAACATTTAAATTGAAACAATCATGTCATTTGTACCAGAGTAATGATCTTCCGCATATCAGTCTCCCGGTTAATTTTCCTTGAATCAGGTCGTACCGAGACCCATAACTCTATACCCAGCCTGCAGTGCACGACGGTCTTATTAGGGCGAACTAACGTTACAATCATTTATCCGAACGTAGTGTTTGATTTGGAGTGAGAGTGGACGTTGGGGGTAGGGGCGGGGAAAGGGTGAGAACAATAATATTCACTTCTCCACTTCTCCACAGTATTCAGTCAATTCGTCACCACGACAGACTCGCCACCGCAAAACTTGCCATCACTCAAAGTCAAATCGCCATCGGTGGCGATTTGACTTAAACGTTATGTGTAGCCTCTCGTGTGAAACTTACCTCAAATGTAGTAGTATACTGCGAAAAGGAAAGGAACTCAGAAGTTCGGTGTAGCGTCTCAGCAATGGAATGTTAAATCAAATAAAGCATATTGATATCATGACAATTATGATCAGTTAGTGAACAGCGAAACCAGAGCCGGGATGTTCGCCGAGTGATATTTGTGATTTCCGCCTATATGAATGAAATCGTATGAAACTTGTACCATACAAATGCTAAGAAGTCGAAGTATATTGCGAAATTAAAAGCGTCTACAAATACAGCCAAGTTTACTCACACAGAGTTTGGCTTCCTTTCTTTTGTTAAACGATAAAAATAGAACTATATTTTATCTGAAATATTGTAAGGGTTTCCTTATATTGGTGTTGGGAAAAGGAATGGAAATATTATATTACTTTAAGCCACTGATTGCAAAAGTTATAATAAGCAGGTTGATTATTTCCTATTTCTTTTGGCGATCTCATCTAAGTACAATTTCTTTCACCTTTTTCTTATTGTGGTTGTGAATTTGGCATGGAAGCAGATGTTCAGTTTCTACGGAATGTTTTTAATTATGTCAATCTGCTAGTAAAGGAAAAGAGTAAATCTCTCTGGTAAAAGTTAACCTCGTACGGGAATTCCTGGAAATTCCTATTTCCTCTACTTAGTTGATTATTCTCAGACTCGTGTTTTGGATCACATTCTATGTGAACTTCACGATCAAGGAATATTTCTTAAATTTTAATTTAACACCTTCAACACCTCTTTCTTTAGGGTGACTCTAAGTGTAAACAGCTTATCATTTCATCCATCCGCACTGAATTTTAAATTGGATGATATGCTGTAAGACCACGTAGCATTTTCTGTTTATTCTGTTGTTGTGTAACAGTCTTGTAAGGCTATTTTCTCTTATGATATCTTTTCAAGTATGATTCTAATTCTTCCAATAGGTTATTTATAATTTTTATATTATCAATCTCGTTACTGTTCTGTCCGATCTTAACCGTAAAAGTATCAAATTTAAGGTAGAATATGATTTTGTAACTGCGTAGCAACTCGAAGACGCATACTTAGTATGCAGGAACTGTTGCACGTAACTTAACGAGATTCGCTGGTTGAGATAGAATGATGACGATGCAAGAAAATTGACAGCCTAGTCACGGTTTGTATTAAAAGTTCAAACCCCAATGTTCAATGTTCAAACTGTCCCAGGAGCATAGCAGAAAGTCATCATATTCAAAATGATGTGCAGTCTCTTACCGTGACTTGTCGATTCTTGTCCTTCAATTTCCCAGAAGGTTACTTGTCCTGCCTTGACTTTTCCGTTGTCCTGGCTTGAGTTTTCTGTTATCCTGGCTTTTCGGTTCTTGTCCTTCAATTACCCAGAAGATTACTTGTCCTGCCTTGACTTTTCCGTTGTCCTGGCTTGAGTTTTCTGTTATCCTGGCTTTTCGGTTCTTGTCCTTCAATTAGG